ATATATATATATATATATATATATATATATATATATATATATATATATATATATGAGTATCGGACTATGTAAAATAGAAGTTTTTATATATCTAAATCATTTTTTAAAATAGTTAAATATTTTTTTCATCTTCAACAATGTTAACTTCACATATTAGAATAATAATACACTGAGCCTGCGATTTTGTTTGCTTATAATATAAGAATAGAACTTCGTTAAGTGAATTACTAACATGACACTGGCAGAATTACTTTTAGAGTAGCCTAAAAATGAGAAGGAGAAAGTGAATTACTAATACTAAAAGCAAACGAGGCTCAGGAGATCAGTGTCACCCCCTTAGACTAAAATGAAATGACTTACAGACTGTAAACATACGTGCTCTGTTACATACTAGAATCCAGCTATTAAAGACAACATTAGAAATTAAAGTTATTTTGACAGAATATGGGTGACAAACGAGCACACATTCCACCCGATGGTAAGTGGTTGATGTGGCACATAGACACCCACAATGCCTCGTTTCCAGTAAAAAGGGTTCTCGGTTTTACTACACTCACCAAAAGAAACACTGCTGCATCAAACTGCTATTGAAATTTGAGGCTTTTATTGTTCATTTAAATGTCTGCCTCAAATAATAAGCATATGATGCTTCAGACGCTATTTTGGGATTTAAACACTTATAACATTCGTTCTCGCATTTGCACTTTTGTAAATCTGTGTCTGATAATATATTCTTAAACTCGACAACGACGATAAAAATGTTATTTTCACATTTTTTCTTATCTTTCGCTTTATCAGATAATTGGGCATATTTATCATTAACAAGAATTTTGCGCCGCATTGGAAGGCATATTCAAGCTACGGAACTGCAAAGGGCGGTAGTACATGGTAGTGGTTAAGTGGTAGAGTCACGCTGCATCTATACTATGGTTGTAGCACGAATGGGTCTGCACGACCGAGAAAGGACTACGCTCTCGCAGAATACCAGCGTAAAAAGGCAGCTGTTTAATAGTTTATGTATAGTTTCGTATGTTGACTGTAGAGAACCGGAGACTCTTTTAACTGCCATCGAGGCATTCTATCTTAATCCTAAGGTGAGTAATCAAAACGCATCTGCGTTTTGATTCTTAATTGAATATAGATGAATATTCTGTATATGGTGGTATATAGATGAATATACCTCCTTCCTCTGCAAGATTATGGAGCGTATATTGAACGCCCGCTTAATGGCATACCTACAGCAGAATGACTTCCTTAGTGATCTACAGTACGGGTTTCGCCGAAATCGGTTAGCTGGGGACCTTCTAGCGTATGCCACACTCGTATGGGGTGAGGCACTCGAGAACAGTGGGTAAACACTTGCTGTTTCTCTTGATGTCTCGAAGGCCTTTGACGGAGTTTGCACGCTAGCCTTTTGGGTAAGCTTCCAGTGTACGGCTTATCCCTTGGTCTCATTGACTGGGTAAAGGTATTTCTGGATGAACGATCTCTCCGGATAGTCGTCGATGTCTGCTCATTCGATCCTGTGGTGACTAATGCCGGTGTTCCTCAGGGTTCCGTTCTCTCCGTAACTCTTTTCCTGCTGCTGATTAATGATCTGCTTATGCCCGGTATCTATGGGTATGCAGATGATAGCACAGTTGTATATCTATACCAACCAAGTGCTCGGGCCAGTTGGGATCAAATCCAGTCCGAAAGAGAAGCTATGGTAGAGCGTGTGAATCTCACACTACAGGCAGTCTCCGAAAGGGGCGATGCCAATCTTGTAAAATTCAACGCCTTCATACACAAGCGTGTCTCTTCACTGCACCTTGGCTCCTTCTCTCCCAAATGTATCACTGGAATACACCGACCGCCGTTGTGGGTTGAGATATCCTGAAATATGAACTTTGGGCGGTTCATTGAGTCCAAGGCCAAAGTAGCTGCAAGGAAACTAAGAATCCTTGCAAAAGTGCGGCGATACTTCACGCCGGGATAGCTGCTTACTTTACATAAAGCGCAAGTCCGATCGTGCATGGAGTATGGCAGCCATACATTGGCATGCATTTCGGAGAGTGTGCGCACGAATAGCATAATTTAATTCCTCCTTCGCCCTTCCACCATCGGACCACCAGATGTTCGGTCAGTCTCCACCCTTTCCTTGTTGACTTACGTTCATCATGCTTACAGCAAAGAAGTGGAATAAGTTGCCAGCATCTGTCTTTCCATCCGATTACAGTGTAGGTGTCTTCAAGGAGAGAGTTAATAGGCTTTTGTTAAGTCAGTGCGCGTCACCATCTCAGGCTACATTACCACTTACCATCAGGTGGGATTGTATTTAAGCGGTGGCTTAAAATAATCTAAAAATTTATGGGGCACAGCATCCACTAACCTACCATCAGTACTGTATGTTATTTTGTTACGTCAATGGCGACTAACTTACACATCCTGAATTTGTCGCAGATATAGACATCATGTCAGAATCCCTGGCGAAACTCAGTAGACTAGTGATGGGCTGTAGTGAGATTGATTGTATGATTGTTAATACATTACCTACTTTAAATAATTTGAATTTTATGCTTTATATCATATATCAGAACTAGTTTTTTTAATAGAATAAGAGTGACAAATGAGCACACAGTCCACCTGACGGTAAGTGAATGCTGTGGTCTATAGACATCCACATTTATCCTCGATTAAGAATCAAAATTCAGACGCGTTGTCACCCCTGAGAGCTAGGATGGAATGCGTTGTCTTCAGTAAAAGGGATCTCCGGTTCTCTACACTCACCACACAAAAACAGCAACATAAAACTGCTGTTTTACGCTTGTATTGGCATTCTGTGATAGCGCGGTCCTTCCCGGTCGAGCTGACCCTTAGGTATTACATACTTAATATAGCTGCAGCGCGGTTCTACCACGTCGACTTCTTTGATGCCTAGGAGGCCTTCGGGCTAAATGGTAGTTGCGTATGACTAGTGTTTCTGTATTAAGGGTATATACAGCTAATATAAAACAGGCTATAAAAGCTTTTAGAAAAATTTACTTTGCAAATATCCGCGTTATAAAATAAAATGATGTGTCTTTCCTAGTGTGAAGAGCACCTCCCGCCCTCCCTCCCTAAGTCACTTAGCGCTTAGCCACCGTAGAGTCTATATCACCTGAGGATGCCTCGTGTAGAGGCGAAACACGTGTCGTATTATCGTCAGTGGTGTGTCTTGCCTAGTGTAGTGGTGTTGGGAGTAGCGGTGCCGGGATTAATGGTGACGGGGATAGTGCACGCAATTGAGGGAGGGCGGGAGGTGCTCTTCATACTAGGTAAGACACATCATTTTATTTTATAACGCGGATATTTGCAAAGTAAATTTTTCTAAAAGCTTTTATATAATGGATTTCCGCAAAGTAACGCCTGATTCTATTAATTATATAAAACAGGCTGTTAAGAATACCATTTTTGTCCTTAGATGTGATGCACCTGTAGCATCCTTTGTTTATGGTGGTCTACATGGGCTGTATTAGCCACTTACCATCATTGTGAACTTTAACAACATTTGCCACTTCAATTTCAAGAAAAAGAAGACGCTACAATAACGTCATTTACTTCTATACACATAAAATATCTATAAAAGTTTTAGTTTTGAGCACTTATAAAGTTTTTCAGAGCCGTGAGTGTGCAACGCTCTATTTTTAGCTTTTCTAAAGTGGATAATATTCAAGTTATTACCTTACATTTACTTATTATTACAAAACTTTTTTAATAACACGTTAACTCCACACCAGAAATTTCTGCTGTATCGCGGGGGCAGTTTACATACATAAATTTCACCAGGACTAACATCCAGAAACGGATCAATGATTCGCGGCCCTTAGCGCTGCAACTCATTGTTAAGCTATGCGCTATGCTATGTTTTGTTTTTATTTTACACAAAGAAATTTAAAGCAGTTAGAAGTGCGTTGGTGACCTCAAAACATTACGAGCGTCCGAATCCAGCCGCTATAAAAAACAAGTGTTAATCAAACGTTATTTCACTGCTGATGATTTGTTTTGGTAAATAAAAAGAATGTTCGACGCGCGTTTCCGTTGACCGTGCTTTACCACATCATTTCGTTAGAAGATCGCTGCATATTTCCTATGTCTCGTCTTGGGTTTGTTTTTTTTGACGAATAAGAGGAAAATTTCGACCGTGTAGTGGCGGTGTCAGAATATCCCCTACCCCATTATTCCATCCGTGAGTGTCAGAAGTGGCGACAGAGTTCGTAACATCTTCCTAATAACATCTAAATAAAAAAAATACTGCGGTTCCCAACCCGCTTGCCAAGTATGGCAGCTATAGCAAATTCATGGGAGATGTGGTAGTCGTAGGAGGAGGCCTATATTAGACTTTTGATATGCTATATCATGTACTTGATATAATGGTAATGGTATTTGGAAATTTTGTTTAATCACTTAACTCCCGTGTTAATCAATGGTATCTTTTTTTCTGTTCGAGCGCATTTATTACGCACGAAGTTAAAAAAGTTAAAGTTGCAGTATATATACATCCCACTGCTGGACACAGAGCTCCTCCCGTTTCTAAGAAAAAAAATATTCCGAAATTCGCCAACACGCATGGAGGCAGCACGGCGTACATTTCCTTGCCCTAAAACCCAGTCAAGAAGTAACGGAAAATATTTTGTCGCATATTAATTCATTCAAAGATTCAAAATTAAGGCCAAGCTTATGATATCTAAATTTACTGTATGAACTGTACCTCCGCCTCTCATTTCTAAAATGATTATGGCGAAAGAAGTTTGGAAAAACAACGTACTGATTCAGGCCTTAAAGGTAAAGTTCATGTATCCTGGAAATATTTCATTTCTTAATCATGCACTTATTCTTACGATGTTTTCTTTTATAGCTCAAATTAAATAGTTGACTGGGTATTTTAAGGAATCGATTGTCGGAATAATAAAAAAAATACTCTTATAGAGTCTTGCAAAAATGTTGCAATATTGTTGTTAAAACGAACTTTCTGTTTTCAGGTGAGCGGTTTGAAATTCGAAACACAACTTCGTACTTTGAACCAATTCCCGGAGACTTTGCTGGGCGATCCCGCTCGGAGAATACGGTATTTTGATCCCCTAAGGTGAGTAATTATTTCCATTGCAGCTTACTGTAATGGTCAATTTTTGAAATAATTAAAGTAATTATGTTCAAATAACGTGCCCGTAACAATTCAGAAAAATGAAATGTAAATAATTTAATTTTAACTTGTTAAATCCCGAAGTTTTGGGTGCTTCACAGTCCCGTAGTTATCCAATGATTGCCAACTTTTTAAGTTATAAATTAAAAACAAAAAAATCCGTAAAATACTTTAATTTAATGTGTGTAGTATTCAAAATTATATGAAATCGTTATAGCTCAGATAAAATTAAGGTTCCCTGAAATAACAATAAGCTTAATTTCAGAAACGAATACTTCTTCGACCGTAATCGCCCTTCTTTCGACGCTATCCTTTACTACTATCAAAGCGGAGGGCGGCTTCGCCGTCCTGTTAATGTACCACTGGACGTTTTCTCTGAAGAAATTAAATTTTACGAACTTGGCGAGCAAGCCACAAACAAATTCCGGTACGAATTACTGATTATATACAAAATTATATAAAAAATTAAAGTTTAATCGTTACACTGTTTCACTGTTAATATCAATGTCCACTGTATAGTGGCGGCCCTAGAAAATCACCTACCGCACACGACCGCATAATATAATCCCGTAGATGTAAAAGCCGACAGAAGAAACCTGACCAAATTTTTTGGTTAGTGATGAATTCTTATAATAAAAAACTGTGGTTTCATACTCGCTTGCCAAGCGTGGCAAATCTAACAAACTTCCCTTTATAAGGCTATCCATGAGACAGCCCTATGTTTAGCAATCAACCTTTGATATAATATCTGTATAGTATAAAACAAAGTACACTTAGATATTTTAAACTACGCAACGGATTTTGATGCGGATCAATAGACAGAATGATTCAAGAGGAAGGTTTATATGTGTAATACATACATATTAAATATTATGTAATTCTTCTGTCCGTGTGTATGTGACTGAACTCCCTCTAAACGACTGGACCGATTTTCATGAAAATCTGTGTGTGTGATTAAATTGATCCGATAATGGTTGAGATTCACAATTGGATCTGGTAGGTGGCGCTGTTGTCGAGATCCAGAAATCAACCGTGCGAAGCTAGTGCGGATCGCTAGTTCTGTATTAAATAAATGAAATACTACTGTTAATATCAGTGATTTATACGCATATGGATGTAAATGCATACGTATAAACTATAAGTACTTGCGTGTTTGGGTTTTATCTTCTTGTTCATCATCAGCCTGTTGAAGATCACTGTTAGACGGGGAGACGAATTCTATTGCGCCGCCACCATATGGCATATGGTATAATGTATATAGTATATACTATATACTTCTATATAAATAAATAAAATTGAAGTGTGTAAAGTCGAAATAAAATATTTTTACTAAATGCATATGAAAGCATATAATGGTAGTTAAATATAACAAAAAAAATTAAAAAAATTGTGCGTGTGTCTGTTTGTTCCGCCTAATCTCTCAAATAGCTGAACCGATTTTGAATGGACTTTCACTGGCAGCTGATGTTGTAAGAAGTAACTTAGGCTCCTTTTAATTTAGAAAAACAATTAGGGTTCATGCCATAAGTCCGCGGGGAACAGCTACTATTATACGAGTATACATCTAATATACAAAAAATTGTCAGTTTGTTCGTATTTTATGCGCTTCCATACCGTTCATCAGATTGGTAAAACTTTGTCAGCTTTTTGTTTGCACTTGCGCAAAAGTTATAGGCATACTCCAATCAACTTACAAAATTTGAGAGTTATATATAATTCAATGAATATACATATTATAATATAATGCGTTCATATTATATTGTACTTTTCCAAATTTAAAACAACATTTCCACAATTATTTCTTCGGCGGCAGTAACGCGCCGGGTACCAGCTAGTGTTATATTATAAAAAATACACAACTATGGTATCAGTGCCACAATTTTCTTTATTATTACTACTTTCTGTTTTGTAAATTAATATGTAGTTATAAAATAAAATATTATATATTTAACGTAACAAACTTATTTTCAGTGAGGATGAGGGCTTCATAAAAGAGGAGGAGAAACCCTTACCCGCTAACGAGCGCCAGCGCAAAATCTGGCTCCTCTTCGAATACCCAGAGAGCTCCCAAGCAGCCCGAGTCGTTGCCATCATCTCCGTGTTTGTCATTCTCCTGTCAATTGTTATCTTCTGCCTCGAGACACTCCCAGAATTCAAACATTACAAAGTGTTCAACACCACAACCAACGGAACTAAGATCGAGGAAGACGAAGTACCAGACATCACAGATCCATTCTTCCTCATCGAGACGCTGTGTATAATCTGGTTTACCTTCGAGTTGATAGTGCGGTTTTTGGCTTGTCCGAACAAGTTTAATTTCTTCAGAGACGTCATGAATATAATAGACATAATTGCCATTATTCCCTATTTCATCACTCTTGCTACTGTGGTTGCTGAAGAAGAGGACACCCTGAACTTACCTCGAGCGCCTGTATCCCCACAAGATAAATCCACCAATCAAGCAATGAGCCTCGCTATACTCCGTGTGATTCGCCTGGTGCGAGTCTTCAGGATTTTCAAATTATCTCGCCACTCCAAGGGTCTTCAAATCCTTGGACGCACACTAAAAGCGTCTATGCGTGAGCTCGGACTTCTAATATTCTTCTTATTTATAGGTAAGTTTCGAAATTCGATACGTTCAGTCTTCATTAAAATTCAAAAGCAGCCAATTAATAGATCATTTACAGGCTTTTGATAAGGTATATTAAAGAATGTATTAACGGTAACTTTGCTAGAAAAAATAAACTTGCGTAATAAAATACTTCCCAAAGTCAAAAAGAATATATATATATATCTATATAGAATTGTAGTAAACACTACAATTATATTGAAAGGAGCAATGGTAAAGGTTAATCCAGAATTTCCAGATGTCGCCGCGGAGCGACGCAGCAGCGTGCGCGCGGGGTGACGCGTGCCGGTATTTTGTTTGCGTGCACAACATGCTTTGTGTTCGCAGGGGTGGTCGTGTTTTCGAGCGCAGTATTCTTTGCTGATAAAGGTTGCTCCGATACCAATTTTTCCTCAATCCCCGACGCCTTCTGGTGGGCCGTAATTACGATGACCACAGTCGGCTACGGAGACATGAGGTAACCCGCGCGCGTCCAGCCCCGTGCCCGTTCGCAATCGCTCCCCGCCATCGTACGTCCCACTGTATCCGTTGGTGTGTGCTTATTCTTAAAGGTGTGGTGCTGTTTTCCTCCGCCGTGTACTTCGCTGAAGCCGGAAGTGAGAACAGCTTCTTCAAATCCATACCTGATGCGTTTTGGTGGGCGGTCGTGACAATGACGACCGTAGGATACGGAGACATGACGTATGAATTAGCGACTTCACCCTAAATTTCATCTTTGCCTTCTCGTTCATTTTATATCCTACAACCTCACATCGGCATTCTAACACGGTTGATATTTTCTTTCGCCACCTCATGTAACTTTTGCTTCAATTTGATTTTATCGTCGGTCCGCTTAGATCTTAACTGATTACTTATGACTTTCGAATCGTGTACCAAGTTGTACTGCACGTTTTTGAACGTTCGTTGTCATCGTTTTATAATTTTATTTCAAAATTCACCTTTTACATCATCTCCGTCCTGAGCTATAGCAATTTTACATAGCAGCGTTATTGTAAAATTTTCCATTATTATTCGATCATAATAGTTAGATACGCTGATTAAGATAGATTACCAGGAAACCTGTCGTGTTACAATCGCCCTTTCCAAAGCGTATTCGCGCCAAATTTGGCACCAAACCGCTTTAAATGTCACAGTACACTTCAACTCAGATTAAGTTTCAAGAAACCACCTACAACAGTCGCGGGTGCCATCAAGAATCGAGTTGAAGTGGTCTTGCCGTTGTAATACAAGGCCATTTCTCCAGTGTATGTACTCCTCTGTAACGCTTTTGCTAAAATAAACTAAATGTTCCCACCCTTGTCATAGCTGTTGTGAATGTTAAAATTATAGCTCGTCGAAAATGGTGATCATCACGACTTTGTGCCTGTTTTCTATTCTTAAACTTGCATCGCTTGTATCATTTAAAATTATGTATATCTGCCTAATACCACACCTATCAGTATCTTTATGGTTCGAAATGCCATATGAGCTCCACCATCGACTTCGTATTACGGATATATATGGTTAATTTTACCCAATTATGCTACTATGTAAAATTGATGTTCAGAATTTGTCACTGCTTTTATTGTTGCCCTTTGATCACAAGCTTTCACACCATTTTCGATAGAGAAATTATTTCATGTACTATTTCATTTTAGTCGTAAACTGATGCATGTTATTTTGTTTAGCGTTCGTTTAGTTAATAACGTAGGTCATCAAATTAAAATCATCAATAAAAGTGTTTAAAACTATACTGGCATATTCATTGTAGCAAATTTGTTGGGCATATAGAATATCAACAGGCTTAGTGTCAGTCACCAATTGCATATACTGACCGGTGCTGTTGATAAGCCTGGGTCCCTAACTTTCCTACTCTGAATATGATTGCTGGCGATAGACCTAACTGCCTTGCGTTAAGTATCAAGTTACAGTTAGTCTGTAACAAGCTGGCGAGTGTGGAAGACGATGAATGACATTGTATTGCGAGCGATATAAACTGAGCACAGCGAATGGAATAATTTTTTTTTAATTCACATAGATATATATTTTTATATAACTACATTGATTAGGTTTCATCCGAAATTGCTTTCATTAAAAAAATGGGTACGTACAAAATGAAGCATGGCCATCATAAAAATCATCTTTAACAATGCCAATCGAATCTAAATTACATAGTACTCTTATTTTAATTTCATAATCGTTGACAAATAGAATACTCCAGAAATATAATAGAGTTTCTCACATTAGGCCGGTTGGAGTGTGGGGCAAGATCGTGGGATCGCTCTGTGCGATCGCTGGCGTACTCACTATTGCCCTGCCTGTGCCCGTCATCGTGTCCAATTTCAACTACTTCTATCACCGTGAGACTGATCAAGAGGAAATGCAATCACAAAACTTCAACCACGTCACCAGTTGTCCCTATCTACCAGGAACTATGGGCGAGCCTTACTTGAGTATGTATATGACACACAAACTGCACTTGATAACATTTGCTTTTTTTTACATTAAAAACAAATTTATTTATACATTCGTGCCACAATAAATGTGCTTGCAAGTATTATAAGGCCTTGTTCGACGTGTAAATATTACCGCGGTTGGACTACCGACTCGTGGCGAGCCATACAGTTATTCTTTATATTCTATGAAGCACCGTACCAAATTTCATAAAAACGAACCTGGTTCGTCGATTTTACGATCTGCTAATTAAGTATTTTACCCGCGAGCCACAACACCTCGGTAAAACTTGCCCATCGAGGCTTTTATCCAAGGCATTTATGATAGTTAATCAAGATTAATTTAAAATGGGCAATATTAAGCACGTAGTTTATTTTATGTACTCGTAGACAAATACACGTGACACGTTTCTGGTCGTTTTCATATTGAAATGTAAATCTTTATAATTTCTTTAGTAATTAATTGTAAACCCAGCATGACACAAGCTTTACAAGAATGAGTTCGCATGTTTCGCTTTTTTATTTGTTCTTTTATGTTGGTTTTCGGTAATTTCAGGTGGGAAGGACGATGAGAAGGACGAAGTGTGCGGTGAACATTGACTGGACGACAGTGTCGTTCTGTTATTTAGTATTGCGAACTTAAACTAACTCGACAGAGACGATCATTGTGATATTATCGTTTAATAAGCGAAATAGTGCAGTGTTGATGTAAATAGTAGTTTAAGTGATGTAAAAATGCGTCAATAAAATTGTTAATTTAATTCTATCGAGTTACGTTTAACGGACGGTAGTGAGTTCGATTATATCGGGTAATGTTATGAATTTGTTTCACTTGGTTAGTTGGAATTTTACATCAAGTGTACTTCTTATCGAGTGTCGCTTTACCTGAGAGTTTCAAAATGTGTTACATACGTTTTGTTTTTGTTTGTAAATATCTATTTACAGAACTTCGTCACTATTTGCTTCCGGTTTGACTTTTATTTTCTTTGTTAAAATAAAAGAAGCGAAGCAGCATTCCTCAAATTTCGATGTTTTTGTTTCACTTTTTACAATTTTTCTACCCGAAATAAACTTAAAATAATAACTATAATTCATTCAACGTCCTGGCCGAAAGTTTAACACTAATCCAATTTTTACAATAAGTTTCATTTACGTTCGTTGTTCTTTTCCAAAACAATAACGAATATAAATTAAAAAAAAATACATTTATATTAAACATTGAGCAATCAATCCCACACAATAAAAGTAAGTCAATAACAAAAATAAAGTAGCACACTACAAACGTGGGGTGGACTGAGATTTGCATAACTCATTTTAAAAAAAAAACAATTTATATGTAAACTAATATATGTTTGGGTACTGCTTTTCAAACTATTCTCCATTACATTTTAAACACATTTCCATTCGTTCAAACCATTTTAAAACATAAGGACCATTGGTATGAGGGCATGTTTTTTACGTGCTGGCAAAAGCTATCATGGCCTTCGTTAATGTCAAACCTCTCATCAAATCTTCGATTTTTAGGAAAATAAATAACTCGCATGATACAAAGTCTGGAATGTGTGCGAGATGCATTTTTAAAAGCCAGTAATGACTTTGCCTTGTTCCGCTGTGAGCCGAATCATTGTCACGATGCATTAAAGTGTGACTTCTTAGTCGTTTTTCTCTAACTTTTTCAAAGACACTATGCAAACAACAATTGTGGTGTACCAGCCAGCATTAACTGATTTTTGCTCATCAAGTGTTATCGTGCAAACATGACCCGTCTGGTAGAACAAAAAAACACAATCATTTTTTGCCCACACTTCTAGCCTGCCTCTATTTAGTAGGTTTGCTGTCGCCTTCGAACACTCGTAGAGAAGAATAGGTATTGCTATTTTTCCTTAATGTAACAATATATACGTGTCATCTCCTGTCACAATGCCATACACAACATTTGAACGTCTGTAATCATACTTTAACAACATTTTTATACCAATCAACTTGAGCCCGTTTTTGTTCTGGGGTAAGTTCTCAAATGTCCTCAAATCTTCTCATACATGATGCGCAGATTTTCTTCAATATACTGTATACAATTTGTCATATTCTTCGGTTGGGGGTCGACTTTTATTAATTTTATAATGGAGAGGAACAATACCATGATCCAATTCTACATACCAACGCCTTACGATACTGAAATGAGGTGCTACCCTCCCAAAAGCATTTTGAAAACGATCAGTGTAATGTTGCGGAGACAGTGAACATTAAAATCTTTAAAAATCATCACCTTAAGAACTTTCCATTTTTCCTACTGATGTGTTACTTTAACTTCTGATAAAAACAATTGACACCAAAAATTACTTTAATCTTATGTTTAAAAAAATTTACATTCAAAATTCAAACATTTATGAGCGGCTTGGAGTGCAGAATTTTCTGTGTTCCTCGTGTGTCGTTGCAGTTTTGAACAGATCCTAAACAGTTGTTCTTTCATCATATTATGTTTTGTTTACAACATCTTTCCTAAAAAAACCTAATATTATGTAAATAATACTTCATGAAATATTTCATACAGAATATAGAATAAAATAAATAACTAGTGGGTACTTTATCCAAGTACAATTATCTATATTTCCTATCTATATTTCAGTAACTATTCGATATAAATTATAAATATACGTGAAGCATTTTTTTAAGCGCATAAAAGTATGAGCTCGGAAATTCTTTAACACAATAATTTTAAAGGGATATATGAACAAAGAAGAAACTCAATAAAATATTATTTAACACCTTGCGGCACAATCGCTTGTGTAAAGTGAAGCCTTTGAACCGTTCTAAAGGGTTTATTTAAATCTCCGAACGTCCGCAGTGTTACGCAACACCGACAGAACGCTTCCTTGACGCGGACACATTGCTGCATGCCCCGAATGAACTGATAAATCGAGAGGACCATCCTGCTAGGCTTCGAATTTCATAGTGCCGCTTTTATACATTTTAATTTATGAGTTCTTTTGTATCGACACGCCGTGCCGCTAACGCATTATTTTTAAATGGATATCTCGAATTGTCAATTTATTCCCGTAGCGGGATATTAATGTCCGCTTCTATGTTTTATTTCTTTTAGCAATTATACTCCATCTTTGCACCTGGATGTCTGCAAGTAAGTTACAATTTTTTTTTCTTTTAATTTAATTATTTTATTTCACATTATCATATCCTGTTGAACGTTTACGTCTTTCATATTTACTTTCAAGTTGGAAGCACTCGCACATTTTAGCAGTCTCTCGAGCGATGCCAAGCGAAAGCGGATGTGACGCGGCGCGAACTTCTCAGTTTCGAATAATTCCAATTTTATCCTAAACGTAAATAAATTACTAATGTGTATTTGTTGATCTGCAAGGCCTATTGAAAAGGATCAGTGAAAACTTTTAACTTTCTTTTCTTTTTTGATACAATTCACAATCTATTTCTTCGCTTTACTTATTAACTACATCAACCGCCCTCACATCGCTTGCCTTCGTCTTCGCTCACTAACGCGCGACTAGGAGCGCTACACATGACCGGCGCGCACAGTTTCAGGTCCAATTAAGAAGTCCTCGGTTAGCGACGAGTCGTCCTCGGATATGATGGATTTGGACGAGAGCGGCTTACTGGCCGACACACAGCTGGAGCAGAACTTGCAGCGTTTGCGTGAAGAGGAACGCCTGCTGTTGGAAAAACAGGCAGCCATGGAAGCCGGTGGCATAGACGATATCGCCGCACTTGAAAACCAGGATGCGCTTCGTCTGAACCATGTGAGTAAAGTTATGAAAACTGTCTATTTTAGTGAGCTTACGAGTAAGAGAGTACCCTCCTTTCATGAAACGATAAATAACTAAAGCTGGATATAGATTTAGGCTATATTAGGCTTTCTGTTGCCGGTCTGGTATTTTTTTATGTTTTTTTTATAGGATAGGGTGACAAACGAGCACACAGTTCACCTGATGGTAACTGGTTACTGTGACCCATAGACATCTACATCTATCTATACAAATAAATAAAATTGAAGTGTCTGTTTGTAATGTCAAAATTACAGCTTTTTACTAAATGCATATGAAAATATATACGGTACTAATAACAAAAATACAATTTTTAAAATTTTTATGTGTATGTCTGTCTGTCTGTTTGTTCCGGCTTATCTCCGAAACGGTTGGACCAATTTTGACGGGATGTTCACTGGCAGATAGCTGATGTCACAAGGACTAACTTAGGCTACATTTATTTTAGAAAAAGAATTAGGGTTCCGCACAAAAAATTTAAACCCCAAAAACACGCGGGCGAATTCACGGGAAACAGCTAGTGCTCAATAAAGACTCAAAATGCAGATGCGTTGTCACCCGTCAGGACTAAGATGGAATGCCTCTTGTCCAGTAAAAAGGGTCTCTGGTTCTCTACACTCACCATATACGAAACAAAGTGAGAGCGTGGTCCTTCCCCGGTCGAGCCGACCCATTCGTGCTACAACTATATGGCTCTACCACGTATAAATACGAGTGAAGCTTTTCGATCTTTCGGACCTTTCCCTAAGTTACCCCACGGCATCCACGGAATGAAATAGGGTAATCTTCTACCGTGTTTTATTTAATGCACCTATTATTTTTATTTAACAGAACAAACTCAGTGAAGATAAATTGTGCTGTAAGCTGTAAGAGCCACAGTTGCCATTGGTAGAGCCAGGTCGCTGGTTAATTACATCCGACTCAAAAGACCAAAAATAATGTATGAGCCGCAACTTGTAATTCCTGTCTTTAATTAGTTATTTAGTTGTTTAGTCAAAAGAAAAATTTTTTTAAGAGCCATGTAGTTACTAAATGGGATTTAAGTTAGACAGGCGTGTTGTTGATCAAATGTTTTATTGTAAACTGATTAAATTACAAAAGATGCGCGGAGATGGTGAAACTCGCCGAAAGTATGTTGCTGAGTAGGCATCATAAAATTATGCACGTTTCGAATATAAACCGTTTTTTGGCATAGCTGCAGCAACAGGAGCTGCAGAAGCGGCTACAAGTGCAGGCTCAACGGCTGGCACGACAACAGGCGCAGGGCCAGAACCAGGAAGGTTGCACGTCGGCCCGGGGTCGCGACTGCCCTGAAATCCGTGAGCTCTGCGAGCTCCGCGAAGGTCGCGAACTTCGTGAAGGCCCACGCCGTCGTGCCAACTGCACCGTGCGCGTCAACAACTTGCACGCTGCCTCTGCTGCCGATGCTATAGAGACCGACGTCTGACCAATAGGTAAGTGGCTAAACCCTGGTAATATTTTAAATTGTTGCGAATTTGCATATGATCAAATAGTAATTCCCCCCATTAAAAAAAAAAACTTTAAATGTCTTAAAAATCCATCTCATTATTTCAAATTATAGTTATCTTAGAACAGTTACATTAACACCTTGACAGTATCAAAATCGAAATGCTAATCACAATTTCTTATTTCAGTAATTTATTCGTATTTATTTCACACAGAGGTACTTTATTTACAAAATATGTTATTTCATTCATCTTAACAGAAAATATTTTATCTGTATAATAGGGACGCAACTTTCTAAAGTAAACTTGAAAAGAAAAATAATCATTCGCAATGAATAGACTATCCAAGCGAGTGTGGTTGACCAGTTAAAACTACATCACCATCAGGGAGGGTCGATTATAATAATTCCAAAAACTTATTAACAGTATAGACAATATTATTTTGATATTGCGTTAATTAGAAACTTCAACTAATCAAGGTTCAATAGCTTAGATATAATCATGTCGTCCTATATAGTCATATCATTGTCACCTTAGTGTCTGTTATTTTAAAGTTGACCACGGTCACTCGATTTCTAGACATCCATTACGTAAAAAACGGGTAATTTGTCTATAGGTATTTAGACTTTAACATTTTTTAACTAATAAATAATAATATACAATTAGATATTAAAGAACTAGACACTAGGTCAAAAGCAATCAGACTGTAGCTCCATGACCCCTGTAGGAAATAAGAACGAAGGTATAATAAGCGTGCAAAGGGTTGTACATAAATGCTAGTGCGGCATGCAAAGCGGCGGTGAATGGCGGCACT